TTTTTTTTTTTTTTTGAGTATAGGCTGTAATTGTTTGATCCATATTATATGTTCCAGTGTAGGATGGTATGTAACAATCAGGACAACGTTCTGAAAAAGGTTCATTCATTTCTCAGAATGACCTCTATCGAAAATACAATAGGTGGTTTCACCTACATTAAGAAATCATTGTTGGAAACGCCATCTCCGTGAAGAATTAGAGAATATGCCATCCTCACGAAGTCCCTGTATACTGGCCAGATGATACATTTCTACCATCCTTGTAGAGCAACTGAGCAAGCTCCAAGCAGGGCTGCCAGGTACTCATGTCAGTATTTGTACTCACAGCAGAAAATACTCATAGCAGTATTTTCTTTGTAGTGGCTCCTCATAACCACCAGAGGCTGCTGTTGTGCAAAGTACCAGAACTGGGAGCAAGAAGATCCTTTTCTGCTGTCCAAGTAGAATGGAGAAGGGTGAAGAAACAAATCTAGGCATGATGAGGCAGGGGACTGAGAGATAATGGATTAGAAGTGGGAAGGACAATGGCATAAAGCTTAGCAGGTGAAGAAACAAGACTTCCAGGGCCTGGTTTGAAGAAGTGATCAAACTCTGAGGTGCAACTGATGTCAGTGAGTGCTGAACTCTGACCAAATAAAATCCTATACAATGCTAAGTTCTCTGAAAAACAGTCATGGGCATCTCAGATGGGACATCCACAGTTGATGATCATTATTTGCTTTAATCTCTCTGTTCTTCATTCCATATTTGTATATTGCAACTAATATCATGTTAGATACTGGGTTATTGTGAAGCTAAATTCAGTTTTTCTGAAACAAGCATGTGCCCCTGTGGTGGGGACCACAAGTGAATTGTATGCCTGATATATTTAGCATGTACCTGGATAGACTACTTCAAAGCATCTTAACAATTTTCAGTATGTCAGATACATAAGAAATGATTTCTGTTGGTTTTATTTACTCTTCCAGGTGATAAATCCAAAGAAAAAAGGGAAAAAGAAAAAGTATATTAATTCTGGAACAGTAAGTGAATACTTTTTATAGTAATTGTCCTTCCCAACTTAAACTCCTTCTGAGCTTGAACTCCTTCAAATAAAATGTATTCAAGCTACAATTTGACAGTGTAAGAGCAATACCATCTTTTAAAAATGTAACATTAAACATTTCCTAGAACAGTTTTTCTTCTTTCACTTTTCTGTGATTACATGACTGATGTCTACAAAATCTTTATCCAAAATGTAACGTTGAGTTCCCTGGGAGTTCAGAATTAGGCATAGCATAGTAAAAGCCAAAAGTGCAGAGTTGTTGGGCTGGACAATATTGATTTTTATTTGAAATCTAAAAGTTATTTGGTTTTTAAGAATTTGTATAAATTTGTATTTATTAATTTGTGTTCTGAAAAATGAACAAAATAGGGATGAGTGTTCATGCCTCCAATGGTTTAACAAGGAAGACTCTAGGTCTTTAATTTGGGGTTAGAAAGAAAGTTAAGAAATGCAGTGACTACACTTTTTAATAGTGTTTTTGTTCTTTTTATTCATTAAAGTACAAGCTGATATCTAATGTTGTTTACTTTCTAATAATGCAGGAGCCCATTTTTTCTCGGTTATGATCAGTTTGATCTATTATAAAATCTGCAATGCTGATGTAATATTCAGGCATCTAGGAAAATCAAGAATAAATATAATGGTCGAGAATTTCCATTTCAGAAAGTTGAACCAAAATACCAATTTAAGCCCTAATTTTACAAATACACATTGCTTATTTGGACTTATATGAGCAGCCCCAGTAAAGTGGCAGGACTGTTTGTGCAGGATTGCAGTCTTGAAGTAAAAAATCCTCACTTTCAGGTTCTTTTTATGAATTTGTTTATAAACAGCGCAAGTGCCATTTGTCTTCTCTGTACATATTCGTAAACAATTCAGAATAGGCTAAACCAGCAAGTCTAGTAATTTGTAAGGATTTTATTCAATGAACAATTAATTACCTTTCATGTTGGCATTTTGTTAGTATTCATGCTGGCATGTGGGTAGGTTTTAATATGCTACTGCAAAGTAGTAGTATGATGCACCGATGTATTGGGCATTGAAGGAAACAGGGAACCAAATTGTTATTTTAAATCTGTATTAAAAGTAGAAATAGAATTTGATTATGAAGCTTTGTTAAGGACCACTCTCTAAAAAGAAAAAGTATAGTTATTTTATATGTCCATTTCCATCCTGGCTTTCGAAAAAGAGTCTCCTTGTATTTATGCAACCAAATTATTCTAATACCTGTTTCTACATGCCTTCATACTTTGCAAACAACTATGAGTGCACTTTTTTATGAAAAGCTGATGGTGTATGGAAGGGGGAGGCTGTCTTATTACTCCATCTAAAATGATGATATTTAATTTACAAATTACATTCAAGCAAACTATTACTAGCCTCTAGAATTTAGTTCACAAAAGGAAAATATGCCTTATAGCTTTCATATTCTCAGATCACCAAGGTTCAGAGATGACGTATGTCAAAGCAAGTGGAAGAGAAAGGTAGCTAGTGTTGTAGTAGCAGTGATCTTCTGAATACTGATTATATATAATAAAGATTTTGTGATGTTTTCTGTTGTGGTTGTCTTGGAGGTAAAGAAAAAGTTGTTTGCCTCTGCTGTAAGCTTCTTCTGTGTCTCAGTCATTAAGATTTGTTTTGCCTAGTTAAATTAAGCTGTCTTCATTGAGAGGCATCCCTCATTGTGAGGAGACTTCGCATTACTTTATAAATAAAAAGAAAGAGACTTAGACTTAGGATACTGAAAGCCGGCGAAGAAGGAAGTGCTTAAGCTTTAAGCTTGACACTGATAGGCAGGGAAAGAAATTACTTAAAATAAAACGTATTTCCTGTTCTATATGTTTTTAATTCATTGGGTTTTTTTGTTCTTAAGTCATTACCCAAAGGTCTCTTATTTTACTTTAAAATGTGAAGTGATCTGTAATATATGTTGGTAATTTTAATATAGTTTGTCAATTACGGTTGAAGTTCTTGTGTAATGGGTCAACTAGGTTTAACATTTGACATTACTGTGCAACTTGCAGAGACAGTGATTCCCACCAGGTTTATTTTCTATCTCATGTGAAGCAACATTCCCTGAAGTTCTTCCTCATCCCACCCTCTTTCACTTTAGAATAAGAACCAAGTCGCTGAAATTATTTGTCTCATGATGTCTCCATCTTTCCAGGAGACATTTATTGGAAATATTTGATGAACATATTTTCTCCTTTGATCCCTTATAATGGGAGAAATTTCTTAACTATTAGCTTCTAAAAATGTTTTTTTGTAACTTGTGTTTCACATGAAGAATGACAATTCATGACTGATTCTCTTTTATTTACTTATAGGTAACATTGCTTTCCTTCCTAATCGAAACAGAAGTTTCATTTCTTGATTATATTAAAGGCGGGTAAGTGATTAATTGTGCTGTCAGTATATAATTCACTAAGAACTGGTTATTATCTCTAAGAAGATATCTCTTGTTACAAAAGGTAGGAACTTATTGAAAGAACTGCCTACCTGCATAGAAAATTGTATTTGTGGTTTGGCTTAACTTTTTTTAAATCTGCACATTCCTGTGTCTTAGTAATAAAGAAGGCAATACTTGGGGCAGAAAGTGATGTTGTCTTTAGCTATTAGTTCCCGTGAAAGTTGATTCCACAGTTTCTAGTATGAAAGCTGTGTTGCCTACACAGACAAGTTCCAGTGTCCCTGTGGAGCTGAGTAGTTGATCAAAGTCTTCATCATGGAGGTTTAGGTAGCTTCTTTAAATATTCTGGGCCCAGATTATTGAGCACTTCAAAAATAAGAACAAGACCTTGAACTTTTCTCAGTATTCCGTGTGAAGCTGCTGTAGAGAACAGAAGCTTGGTTTGGTGTTATGAGAAGAGGTGCAGCAGTGTTGTGCAAAATTTGGACTTTTCCAATGGTCTGAAGACTTTAGGGTCAGATGCAGATCAGGCTTACGGATGCCTGATACTTAGGCTACAACACTCCCTAAAGATAGGCATCTTTCCCCAAGAAAGTGATCCAAATAGATGAGGTACTTATGCTCTCTAAACAGTCAAGGAGCAGTTATCTATAATCTCTCTTGAGGTATTTGAAAACTGTTACCATATCCCTCCTGAGTCTTCTCTTCCCCAGACCAAATAACCCTTTTTCTTTCAGCTTTTTTCAGAAGTCGTGCTTCCCATGCTTCTAATCATTCCTCTTGCTCTCTGCTGGACTCTTTCCAATGTGTCCATGTCCTTCTTGAAGTGAACTGTTCTAGAATTCTCCCTATAACTGCTTGTACTGCACCTGTCTTGCTGGAAAATATTTCATATTCCTCTTCAGATTCAGACTACAAAAGGAAAAACATCTTCCTTTGCTAGGTGCACCAGGGCATTACTCTATGGCTATAGTTGTATGTCTAACAATGCTCATTGGACTTTAAAAGCACAGGTGACCCTCCCCCCACTGCTATTCTGTGTGGGGGGTGCGTGTGTACATGTGCATGCACTGGCAGCCCCCACTACAGCACCATGTGCGGGCAGGCTCTCCCACCACTACATTGTATGTATATGCTGGCAACCCCCACCCACCACTACCATGTGCATGGATGGGTGCCCCCCTATCCTGAGTTCACTGGCCATGGGATCTCCTGTTGTCCCATGCTGCAGACTCCCCAGTTCAGTAATGGACCCACACTTTCCCAGATGCTCCTCTTGCTACCAACATACTTGTAGAAATCCTTCTTGGTACCCTTCACATCCCTTGCTAGCTACAGCTCCAATTGCACTTTGGCCTTCCTGATTTCATACCTGCACGCCTGAGCAATGCTTCTATATTCTTGTCTAGTTATTTGTCTAGGTTGCCACTTCTTATACGCTCCTTTTTTTTATTTAGTTTACTGAAGACTTTCCTATGAAGCCAAACTTGTCTTCTACCATACTTGCTAGTCTTCCTGCACATCAGGGTAGTTGGCTTCTTTGAAGCGCAATCAGCTCTCCTGGACTCCTCCCACTCAGTCTGGCTTCTCTTGGGATCCTGCCCATGAATTCCCTGAGTGAGTCAAAGTATGCTTTTCTGAAGTCCAGGGTCCTCACTCCGCTGCTCTCCATCCTTTCTTTCCTCAGGATCCTGAACTCAATCATCTCGTGGTCACTGCTGCCCTAGTTGCCAACCATTACTACATTACCCCCAATTCTTCCCTGCTTGTGAGCAGCAGGTCAAGAAGACCATGGCCCCTAGTTGGCCTCTCCAGCACTTGCACCAAGAAGTTGTCCCCAACACTCTCCAAAAAGTTCCTGGATTGCTTGTGCACTGCTGTATTGCCCTCCCAGCAGATGTCAGGGTGATTGAAGTCCCCCATGAAAACCAGGGCCTGTCATCAGGAAGCTTCCACTAGCTTTTTGAAGAAAGCCTCATCCACCACTTCCTCCTGGTCTGATGGTCTATAGCAGACCCCCACCACATCACCCTTGTTGCTCTCCCCTCTGACCCTAACTCAGAGACTCTCAACAGGCCTGTCTCCAGTTTCATACTGGAGCTCTGAGCAATCATATGCCTCTTTTACATAAAGTGCAACTCCTCCTTCTCTTCTCCTCTACCTGTCCTTCCTGAACAGTTTGTACCCATGCATAACAGTGCTTCAGTCATGCAGGCTATCCCACCAAGTCTGTTATTTCAATCGCATCCTAGTTTCATAACTGTGTAAGGACTTCCAGTTCCTGCTTGTTTCCCAAGCTCTGTGGAAGAAAGCTGTGTGCTAGTACTGTAGACTAGGGGTGTGCGAAATGGGCCATATTTGATTTGGATTCAGCCCGAATCAGGAACAGTGATTCAATTCATTGATTCAGATCACTGTCCCAATTCATGTCGGCCAAATTTGAATCTGAAGATTCGATGCTGATTCAGAGAATCAGTGATTCGGCCATAGACACAACTTTAAATGTTTTTTCTACATACTTCAGAGTACCAGCTTGTGAATGCTATGATGGTGGAGTGGATGGAGCGTCCCACAGGAGTGCGGGGGGTGGTCCCCCGCATGCTCAGCGGTGAACCTGGAATTGGACTGGGAGTACTGGTTCACTTCTGAGTCTGCCACCGAGCGTGCAGGGGGACCCCTCTGCAACCCCCCAACTCAGTTTTTGGCCTCGGGGGGACCCTGGGTGCCCCCCAGTCCCAAGAGGCACCAGTCACCAAGCTGAAGGGGACACAGGGGCCCGTGCACTCCCTGGTGGACTGGAATTGCTTCTGGTTCACTTCCAAGTCTGCTGCCGAGTGCGCTGTGGACCGGCCCCCCACCTCCGTGCTCCTGTGGGACGCTTCATCTGCCCCAGTATCTCAGCATTCACGAGCCACTTGATACGTTGAGGTATGTAGAAAAAACATTTAAAGCTGTGTCCATGTCCGAATTGTCAAATCTTTCCAAATCTCTCTGAATCGATTTGGAGGGTTCCGATTCAATTCGGAGAAATTAAAGGGTCTCCTGATTTGATTCAGAATCCAAGATTTGGCTATTGAATTGAGCCGAATCTCTGCCGAATCAAATCGTGACCAAAGCTTCATGCAGCTCTATGTAGGCTGTCCAGGAGTCTCAAGGCAGTATTCTGAGGGGGGAAAAAACCCCCAAATCCTTAATTTCTGTAAATGATTTTTTTGTTTCTTTTTAGCTATAATATACAATATGATTCTAATTGTTAGTCTTAAGACTAAAGTCTAGAATCTTTTTTGTCCTTAAACAAGTATAATTTCATTATTTTAGTTTTAGCCTAGAGTGCAGGTTTGTCTCTCTTATTAGTCGCTCTTTTTTTCTGTATAGTAACAAAAAAGCACCCACTTTGAATGCTTTCAAGACGCATTTGGATGCTTATCTTGCTGGGATCTTATGACCCCAGCTGACTTCCTGTCCCTGGGGCAGGGGGCTGGACTCGATGATCCTCCGGGGTCCCTTTCAGCCCAAACGTCTATGAAATCTATGAAACATGTCAACAAATTGTAGTGTGTCAGTGTCATGTTCTCTCTCATTTAGTTAGCTTAAGGGGAAAAAAGGTGATCCTGCCCCAAATGCAACATTCGCTTTTTAAAGGTAGATATCGATACAGTGTTGCATATTCAAAACTTATTTAAAATTGATTGGAGATGGTTAGGGTTAGCATTCATATAATGGAATTCTTGACAGATCCTAACTAACAAATGGGAACTAAAATATTAAGTCCCTGCTTTCATGCAGTTTTGTTTTGAATTTTTTCATCTAACTGGATGTGCCATTCTAAATGTTAATATTATTGTCTTTTTTGAAAGAGTCTTGGATAAGATACTAATTTATTTCGTGGCTTTCTTTTTTTAGTTCACTCCCCCTTGCACTCTTTGCTATAATACTTAACAATGGATTGTACAATGGACTTGGGTGCAGAGATTTTTATTGCATATCAATGAAGATATCAAATCTTTGTATCTGGGTTTGTTCACTATCATAAATCCATTGATTTTTTTTTTTTTTAAATCAGACAATTACATAATGCTTCCCACTTTTAAGTAGTCAGTTTATTAGAAATAAACATCTGATTAAAATTTGATTTATTCTTCTTTGCCTGATCCTATGTGGTGAATTGCAATCTACATTCTTATCTGAAAAATTTCAGAAAGTATAAAATACCTATGAAATGTGGGGAGTATGGCCTGGGAATTAGATAATGGCTGAGATGGGAATGCCCCTGTTTCTTTGAATGACCCAAGTTAAGTTGGCAAGTAGAATGAAATGGAACATGGCCCTAGGAGTTAGGGGATCCAAAGCAGACTTTTATACCAAAGTTTCTAGTTTACATGGTTATAAAACAATCTTTCTAAACCCAAGGACAAATGTAAATTGATGCCAGGGTATGTCTGTGTGTGGAAATAACTTAAAACAGCTCTGGGAGATAGAACAATCTAATTTATCTCAGTATGATGTTGACTCTGAGGCACAAGGATAATTTTTTCAATACCAACATTGTTGTCTATTGATCATTTAATAGAAAAAAAATATTGAAACAGTCTACAATGAAGCAACTACTTGCTGCAAAAGTTTGTGAGCATGAGAAATCAGGAATTCAGCCACCTTCCCATTATAAAATTAGCCACTTGCTCAAAAAGGTGAAGACTAAGGAAGAAACACTTTCCTGCCTCATCTGCCTCCAGGTTGTTGGAAATAGATACCCAAACCTACCAGGGAATCAGAAACTCTAAATGTCCACTGTTCAAATTGAACTGTTAGATGTATTTGTCATCCGTAGTTTGAATTATCCACATGTATGAAATGAGGGAACAAAGACTTTGATGCCACTGCTGTGTAATTATGGGGGTTTAGCTGCTTATCCCATCATGTTTCTGTGGCCTTGGTGTATAATTGTAAGTAATGAGATGAAATTAAAAAAAGGAAAATGT